GAGGGGCTTATACAGAGAAAACAATTATAATATACTGTGTGTCCTGAAATATCTCATTGTGATGTTAGCCATCAGTACCTTTAAAATATCATCTCAACTTCATTCCAGACTGCAATCATGTAGTAAATCCAAACTCTTCTAGAAAGAAGTTACCCAGATAAAGAGCGTCATTATCAATATCATTACTATCATTATTATATAAATCCAGCATCTTATAGAAATAAGTTACCCAGATGAAGAGGATTGATAGTATTATTATTATTATTACTATCATCATAATTACTATTTTACTGTTATGATTATAAAATCTATCCAAAAGATATGGTGAGATACTAATGGCATCTAAATTGTCAAATTAACTGAAATTGAAAATCCTGGCTTGGCTTGTAATCCCGTAATCATTACCCCTAAGCCTGTAAGAATGGAGATCATATTGCTCTGATCAACCAAGCATAAATGATGATGAATTTATAACTCTTTATGCTTCATTGAGCATCCACAGTAGAGCTGCATGTCTATTTTCTCGGATGACTATAGGTCTTCGGCCAGGTAATCAATAACCTCATTAATTTCATTGCCATAGCAACATGGTCCCTCTTCCTTGTAAAAGCCTTCAGTAAGAGCGGAGTGTACACACTAGAATCCACTTATCCAAGTACAATTTAAGCCTATGGGAGACTGTGCACGCGCTGCAGGTCACGTGACAAAATATTATGCTCATTATGCGGTGTGTAGTGCAATTATGTTGGATTGCGAGTGACCAGAAATGCCCACAGGCAACATACATTGTTTTTGCCTTATATGCCGGCTTTACTAGCTTGCCGCCAACTGAATTTATCAGATTGATAGTTTTTAGAGAGAGGAAAATAGGAGAGGATGGAGAAGACATGGAAGGAAGAAAATATAAAAGAAACCCAGTAGGTCTGTCGTATTCATGGAAAACATCTTATCTTCCTGTATGAGTTGGTCAGTCCATCTCTATATCTCTGTGTAAGTAAATTTTGCATTCCATCTCCATCTAAATTAAAGGAAAATCAAAATTAATTGATTTTATATTATTTTATATACCTTTAAGTTTTTACTCTCATTTCACTAGCTTCTTTGTTTCATTCAGAGCCGATATCTCTAGTATCATGGATTTTCCCTTCTTCTAAACTCTTCCATCATCACTGAAACCATAGTCTCTCTTTGTTTTTCCCCCCCCCCTCTCTCTCTCTCTCTATCCCTCTCTCACACCCTTTCTCTCAGTCTTTCCTCCCTCCCTCTCTTTCCCTCTCCTCTCTCCACGCCTCTCTTTCTCTCTTCTCTCTCCCTCCCTCTCTTTCTCTCTCCATCCTCTCTCTGTGTCTCATTCTCTTGTTTCCACAAGCATAGCTTAGAGCTAGAAACCAGTAATATTAGCTCGGTGGCTCAGTAGATACCGCCTAGGTGCCCTCCCTCTCTCCTTACATCTAGGAATAGATTGTTCATGTAGGTTACATAAATATACAGCCATATGAAATCACATTTGGTGTTTGCCGACGAGGTACAGAGTAGTCGATCAAGTAGCTTGTTTGCTGACATACTTTGTTTCATGGCCTGTACGATTGTCAATGCCTAGATTCAATTGAAGCTCTGTACCTGTGATTTGGGATATACAAATTTGATTGAGGTAGAGTTTTGTGTGGGGAACAAAGTGACAAAGGATTTGGAATTCTTAGATATTCAGAATTCAGATGTGCAAATTTATATCTTGAATGTCAAGAGATGGAATGAGGCCCAAACTTATCTTTGTGGTATCACAATGATCACAATCAAAATATCAGAGTAATAATATTTCATATTTCTATTTCAAAGCAAATTTGCATATATGTGTAATATAAATTTTCAAATACTCTTAGTCTCATTAATTTCAAATGACAGAAAGCTCACATCACTTCCCTCTATTCTCTCTCTCTCTCTCTCTCTCTCTCTCTCTCTCTCTTTCACCCCCCCCCCCCCCCCCCCCCCCCCTCTCAAGTCAATTAAAGCTTTGAGGTCCTGGCCAACATACCATTTTGCAGATAACAAATTCACTTTAAGCAATTATTCAAAGATATGTGGTGGTCAACAGTCGGCATGACAGTAAATTTGATTCACAGAAACAATCTTCAATTAAGGTTTTTCATGAGTCACCCTAATGCACACAACCATGTAACAGGCATTCGTCAGGAAAAAACTAATCTATCAAATGTTGGCAAATTTGAAGTGTACAGTCAGACTGGAGCTGGAGAAGAAAAAAATTATCTTGATTTCCAGGACTCCAGCAGTAAGGCCCGGCTATGACTTATGAGCCGCAACCAACTTTGTGGATTTAATCATGGAACCAGGCAATCTTCCGCATGGTACAGCAATTATTCACCATGTTTCTTCGCTTATGAAGATGAGCGAGCTAATAAATGCAATACTATATACGGTTCAGCTTACACTGTTTCTGTACAGTGGGACTACATATAGGTTTACATCTCCGGTAGATGGCATTACACCACAAGGGTCTTCTTCAACAAGCTGTTGTTTCAATTACCAGTATCCAGGGTGTTCATGCGATGGATTCAATGAAATATTCATCTTTTTGTCTTCCATTTTTGACAGCATACTGATGAGGGTATACAGAGATGAGAGCTGTACATCAAGAAGCAGAGGAGCAGGTGGAGAGCAATCTTCTTCCCAGACCACAAGGGATGGATTAAAGTTCCATCAAAGACCTTACTTGGATCATTTTAGGCATGGCGTACATAATAACGAAAACCAAAAATACACTGAGTGTAGGTCGGGTGCACACTGCAAACCCGTTTTTAAGATGTGATCTAGACATGTATGCTTCATTAATAAAGCTGAGGAAAAGGGAAGAGCGCTGTTGGATGGTTTCTACTTGTTCTTAGAACTAGTCTTCTTGACATGTGTACACCCAAATCCACCTTCCCCACCTCCCCCATGAAAATTTCAACAAAACAACATACACCTTATGGATATTTTCAACCCCCCCCCCTCCCAAATTTTTTTCAGAATAACATGAAACATCTCAAATGTACTGCTGCTAACAGCATCTTTCTTTCTGAACACTGATCTTTATGAAACAACTTCAAACCTACATGTATACGTATGTTGCTAAAAACAGTAGTTTTACATCTACAGTAGATTGCAAATAATCATCATCAGAACAAAATAATTACCAGTACAAAGTAATCGGTGATCACTGCAGGGGGTACTTAATCAATTTTGAATTACTGCAAAAGTGCAGTCACAAAGAGGTTCTCTGAGATGTGCACATTTTTTCATTTTTCTTAATTTCACGTTATTCACTTCGAGAATTGGCTACATTCCAATTTGAACTGGATTTGAGGATTAAGTCAACATAATCTTGATAAACCAATATACACTTCACTGAAAATTGGATTTTCCTGTCATCAATAAATGCTGGGGTTTGGGTAAGATAATTATAGAATAAATATTTCAAATTTGCTCAGTGAATATAGGGATAATCATAATTGTCTCTTTTTAGGTATTAGCAAGGAATCTTCATTTTATACTTGCTATAGATAGTATCAAAACTATAAAAAGTGCCTAAACTGGGCATTTTTTCTTGATCCAAGGTGTATGCCCTAGTTGTTTTATTTTTCTCTATCATCTTTCTTTTCTTTTCTTTTTTTTTTTTGGGGGGGGGGGGGGAGGTCTATGTTATGAAAGTAGGAAATGGCTTTATGCTACACATTAACCTCCATAGAATGTGCTCTGACGGAAAATTCTCTGTTTCAAATTCCTGTTATGTAGAATACAACAAACAATCTATATCTGTAATTAACATGCAATATAAATGACTGCTCTCCAGCTACACATACAATACAGATGATTGCGGCATTCAAGCTCGTAATTAAAATGAAGACACAGGGCATCATCAGAGCTACAATCACATTAATTAGATTGAGAATTGCATCCGCTGTTAATTACAGCACACACCAACTGTGTCAGAATTCAATTTATATGGTGTAAACCCGATTAAAACTGTTTACATCTCATGGTCTATTCACCTTTCCGACCAGTCATTAACCTACAGGCTCTGAAACAAAATGGCTGTATACCCCCTCTCCCTTCTCCCCCTCACTATCCGAGCAGTCTAAGTTGATTGTCTCCGCTTCAGTGGATTATCTAAAGATGCCTACCGGTCAGCCCCTGCATATATGGGATTAGGCTTTCTCTACCCCAGCCGACCGACCGGGCCAGTGGTAGTTAATATTCATATCTAATGAAAATGAGTCATACATGTGCCGACTCCAGGAGTGCATAGGCTGGTTTGCTGATCATAAATAATGGGAAGAATTTATTGAGGCATGGAAGGCTTATGGGAGGGGGATGAGTGGATTGGTAGTATCACTTGTATGATTGCTATGGTATTTGATTGTAGAAAGGATCAGTGCTGAGAGAAATTCTGTGCCAAGTGAGCAAAGCCACTTGTTATAATATGTACAAGCTTGTACTTAACATGTATTGGTACACTAAAATGTTTATTTACAATAAAAGCTAAGCGATAAAATGGCTCTTTTTCTCTGTCTCTCTCTGTCTCTCTGTCTCTCTCATTCTTTTCACATATTTTGTCGACTAAATGAATATTTGTAAAAAGAAAAGAAAACAAATCATATAACCGTCAATTATATTAAATATGAAAAGGAAATATTTTGTATTATATTTCATCAATAAAAAAAAACAAAAACAGCTAATAAGTCATCTGTAAAGCTTGCTATCCATCAACTATACAAATAATATTTACATAAAGCAAAATGGGGAGTAAATGAGTTAACAACTGTACAAGCATAACCTGTGTTAACCTGGTACCTCAGATCCATGATTACTTTCCTCTCTGTTCAAGGTTAAACATTAAGTTTACATTTACAGGGCCGTAAAGTGTGAAATATCAAAATACTTCTACATTTCAGAGCTCTCTTAATTTTACTTCTTTTCAGTGATTCTTGCCCAAATCAACTCACCTGAGGAACTGGGGTGGCTGGAACACTCATTGCTGTCTCTACATCATACTCATTCTCTACAATATTGAGATGCCTTCTGACACTGCCTGGCTGCACAATCATGGACAGGGAGCGCCTGTGTACTCTTCCCTTCTGAGAAGCCAAGGTGCCTTTAGCCGATGAGCTACCAGCACGACTGCCTGCTCGACTAGAGGTGGTAGAGCGCTTTGCCTCCAACAAGGGGCTTTCCTCGTCTGAGAGTGGGGAGCCTGGGTGGGGGTAGGGATGTGCCTGAGGCCGGCCTAGTTGAACATGATGGGTGGACACATTGTCCTTGTTACTCAGGGTACTGTGTTTGCTGGATCCTTCTCCACCGAAGCTGGAAGACTGGAGGAGCTCACCGTTTTCCTCGTCAGCTGGCGAACTCTGAAAATATATATGATGAGAGATCTTGAAGATTAGGTATACATCCAGAGGCAGGTTATTGGATTAATCATTAATTACAACAGGCATTTCCCAATCACAAGAAAGTCATCATTTATTCAACAGTCAGGTGGATTCTTAAGAAAAGAGCATGCATCGAATGGATCATCAGATTTGGATAACAAAGCATTACTAATGCATCAGTGATTAGCTGAACAGATTTTGCAATTTGCCACACTGAAAAAAGCAGGACTGATGAATGCAGTACTTTCGTCATTTCCCCTCTCGAGATTCATAAGAGATCTTCAGTATCATCAAAGCATAAATTCAAAATCTACTACTCTATCTTTCTGTTCATTGCTCCCCCTTGACTTTCTCTCTGTCTCTCCCTCCCCTCTCTATTTATATTTCACATTTTTTCCATCTCATATCTCCATCCTTCATCCCCTCTCTGTATTCCACTATTTCTGGCCTCTTGCCAATTCACTCACACAAAGATAGAGTGAATCAAAGTTGGAAAGTTGTGTATAACAAAATGTGCTCACTGTGTTTGATACACCACATTCTTTATGTGGTCATTTTAATGCACTGTGTTCATACTGTGCTTTATACACAGTACTTTGTCAATGGTGAAGGTGAGTCACACTGTATCACAGTGTGGACACATCATGTTTACACTGTGGCACAAAAAATGAACATGGTGTTCATACTTTATTTTATACACCGTATCCTCTTTGGTATTATTTTCAAACTGTGAATTACACAATAATCACAGTGTGTTCATGGTCATTTTTTGCACTGTGTTTATACTGTGTTTTGTACACATTACCTTGTCAATGGTGATGGTGAGTCACACTGTATCACAGTGTGGACACATCATGTTTACACTGTGGTACAAAAAGTGAACATGATGTGTTCATACTTTATTATATACACTGTATCCTCTCTTTGGTCTTAGATTTATTTTCGAACTGTGAAATACACAGTAACCACAGTGTGTTCATAAGTGTGTTCGTAAGTGTCTATGGACATTACACAGTGTGGAGAGTGTACTGGTATTGGAACTGTGTTACAAACCTTGTATTCTCTATATGGTCATAATTTGTCACTAATGTGAAAGACTGGCACAGTGGGTATGTACATAAACTATATTCTCTCTATGGCAATAGTTTGTGGTAGTGTGAACAATGTGTCTATACTCCTGAACACACCCTATTCTCTATATGGTCATACAATGTAGACGTCACATTGTGCCAAACTGTGCAAACATCGTGTGTTCACACTGTTTTATATAATACACCCTTTTTTTTTCTCTACAGTCATGCTTTAATCATCACTCTATGTTGCAGTGTGAACATAATCTTTCATATCTTGATATGACAACAAAAGTGCTCAAAACGTATTGCGTGATGATAAAAACTATACTGTTATTCTCTCCAACCACACTGTTTCACAAAGTCACATTATAAAAACTGTGTGAACACACTTTAAAAAAAAAAAGGCAATACTACATGTACCTAGATGTCAAACCCTTTCTGTGAATATGGCCATACTAAATGATTCTGTGTTCATTCTTTCTTGCATTGTTTCTTTCTATCTATCCATCTTCACAATCCACTTTCACCTGTTTTCCCCCTCCCTCTATCAATCTGTTCCTAATTCCATATCACCCCCACCCCTCTCCATACCTGCCACTCTCTCTTTCTCTCTGTCTCCCCTCCCTCCCTCTCTCTTGCTCATTCAATTCTACTTTCCATTTTACTTCTTTTTAGTCCCCCCCCCCGATATTTTATGTTCTGATCTCCTCCATCACACCAGTTATTACAATAAGACACATATAGGGCCTATCTGTATATTACATTGATATCTATAATTTTGTATCTTTATCTTTCTTTATTCTTCCCAATGAATCCAAAATATACAATACTTCAATTGTTGCAATTAATACATGATTTCCCCTTTTCCATGATACTGTTTGAACATGTATTCAACACAAAATATCCCGATTCCCGACACCTCTCAGACTTTAGTTCAATACCAACACTGGACCCTATATATATATATATATATATACAGGTGTGCATATATAGATCTAGGCCTACATCTGCCCGCCCCCCTACACCTACACCACCACCCCACATACCACCAACTCATTTTGATTGCTGAATATCATCCAATCTGCTTTCTTATTTATTTTATGTGGGGGCTTATCAACAAGAATAGTTATTTATCATGGGAATATCTTTTAGAAGATTATGGTCCACAATTTTAGGCATCTTCTGTGTAAAGTAACTTGAGAATGAGATGCTGACCTGGTCTATCCAATTATTAACATCAGCATTTTCAGCATATTACTAAGAATAATCTAAATCCATACCCACTGAGACCCTCCCATCATGGAATACTATAAATTAGATATAAGCACCCAAATAAAATGAATAAATCAACATGAATAATGAGCGTTCTTACCAACATCGCTGGTGGCGAATCGCCTGAGCCATCCACCAACGACCCGCTTCCGTGCGGGGAGCTTGCGGGGCGAATCTCTTCCGTCATGCGTCGTGAAGTACAGAGTGCGAGGGAAACACTTTGGCTAGCTAACATTAGATCAGCTCCTTTAAATGTGTCTTTTCTCGGTGATTCAACTGTAAAGGTGAATACTTGGTCTGCAGGGATGGTCTATGAAATCCTCAGATGTGCTCTAGCAAATAAAATCTTGGTGATGAGAATAGATGATGTCACGCACCGCTGACTGCCTGGATGCACAGGTTGATGAGTGGATGAACGATAACGTGAAAGATATCGATATCAAATGTTTTTGTGTACACAGAGTGGATACAAATATACACACAGACACAGGTGAATACATATTTTGTCGTCTGCCTTCATCTATGATTTTGACAGGTGAGGAAAAATGAAGCGAAAACGAATGCAAACTGAAGTAGAAATTTGACAACAGTGAGAAATAAGAAAGAACAGGGGAAAGGGCGAAAAGAGAGGGACTTTCTGGTTTGAATAATTGATAGTGTGAGCCTACAGAATTAGACTGTATACAGTCTGTCTTTATTGATTGCAGTTTGCCATTTTATTAGGGTTGGGTCTTTTGTCCGGATAGAAAAACCTAGATTTTTAGGTTTTTTAAAAGATCTCAAGATGTATAAAGAAATATTTAAAAAACTGTAGGTTTAGATACAATGTCATAAATGAATTAGGCCTATTTAGTAATCGCAAACAGGTATTAGCACCATTATCTATTTCTTGAAAAGGCAAGCTAAGATTCCAATATGAAATTTCAAGAGGCTGTGTTTATACTTTCGAATGTGTAAGCCAAATCCTTATCATCAATTTTGAAATTTAGGGATCCAATTTAAGTTTGACTGAGTATTCCCCAATAATTTTATGTGTCCGTTCCATATCCAGTTGCGCGCTCTGTCTCTCCGTCTCTCTCTCTCTCTCTCTCTCTCTCTCTCTCTCTCTCTCTTTCTTTCTTTCACTTACTCCCTTAAAAATATCCCCCAAATTAAATGCAAATGAAAAAATACGAGAAAAAAGAATTGATTAACTAACAAAAAAAACCAAAACCCATGTTGAGTATACCAGGATCTTATAACTATATCTTAAATTCACTACCTTGAGCACCATTTTGCCTCATCTTTACAATGTCACCAAGTCCCTTTAATATATCTCTAGGGCGTGAACTATCAAAAAAATAAAATTAAAACATTCAGTGAAATTCTAAATAGATCACCTCCTAGAAACACATTTCATCAATAAACATGCAAGGTTTGAACAGAACCACTCTTGAGTTATCCTATTTGGAATTTGGACGATCAATCAAAAAACTGATTCCTAGAAAAACAAAGAGAAACATGAGCTCACATTTCCCAAGTTATAAAAATACAATATAAGCAATAAATGTTTTTTCAAAGTTAAATTGAATTGTTTTATTATGAAGTTCTCTCATACTTTCAACAATTGATATTTTCATTAAAATGTTTGTATTTGTACAATGAACAACAAAAGTAATTAACTTAATTGACATAAAAAATAAATAAATTGTCTTAGATTCTTTGTTCAAGGTCACACATGAAAAGTTTGCTCTAATTAACAAAACCGTTAATTTTATGGCTTTCTCTTAATTTGTTCATGCTGATTTTGGAAATGGAATATGGAAAAAATACGTATGTTGTTTCAGAATATGACAAAATCTTAAAATTGTTATAATTATATAGGTCGAATTTTCATCATTTTTGGCCAAAACTCTCCCTAACATACCATCATATGTTATTCTCTCGAGTTTTTTTTTTCTCGGTTTAAAATCTCCTTAATTGTAAATACTTGATACATGTCGCACAAGAATAAAATGAATCAAATCATTTTAAATTTGAGTGCATGCCAGTCATGAATGAGCTGTTCCAGAAATGTGTGCATAGACTCCTCCCAAAACAGAGCCATGACCCGAACCCTAAAGACCGCCATCTGCGGTGAATACATTACAAGATAAATTATTCATGCTATCTCTTTTTCTCTTTGTGCATGTATGTATGCTGTATGTCTCACTTTTCTCGTCGACCCCCCCCCCCCCCCCCCCCCCATTCTCTCCCTCTCTCTCTCTCTCTCTCTCTCTCTCTCTCTCTCTCTCTCTCTCTCTCTCTCTCTCTCTCTCTCCCTCTCTCTCTGTCTTCCTCTCTCTCTCTCTCTCTATCTCTCTCTCTTTCTCTCTCTCTCTCTACATCTCTATTTCATTTTCTACCCAACTCGTTTTCTCCACACTTTGTCCTCCTCCTTCTCTTTGTAGGACAAACACTTTGAAGTCATGAAACATATTGATGTCATAGTTTTCATTATAATAACCGGCGTTTTTGTAATGCCAAAAAAAGCCTTTGAAAAGCCAAATGGAGAATTTCATCATGAGGGTATTCTTTGTTGATTAATTACGATGTACCTATATATGCGTTTAATAATCCTGACTGACTGACTCAGCAAAGTTTAAAGTAGCACTCCTTCCGAAATAAGTCCACCCTCTGCCACCTCGACCTCCAGTTTAAATTCCACTAGGAATCTTTTGGAGGAACAACAACCAAGTACCAAGTACCATTTGAAGGCCTTTGATGCTATTTTAACTGTTTATCATTATTATTAATAAGCATGATATCTATGGTTTTATCCAACAAATGTATATAAAGAAAGATGTCCAGCTTTTAGCCCTAGCCTACACTTGATGGGAAAAGATTGGCACAAATCAATCACGTGCAGCCTATAATCTAGATGCTAAACAGGCGTTGATGAGTATTACCGTAGAAGTAGAATCCAAAATCAATCTAATCTGGGTAGGTCTATTTCGGACCCCTCACTCCACCTGAGAAAGGTATCACTTCTGATTGGTTAAAAAGTTTGATTTACCGCTCGTCATGAATAGTAGGCATTTCCTGATTGGTTAGTTAAGGGATATTTTCTTTATTTCAATTTTTAAAATGATAAATAAGCAATGCTTTTTTGTTCAGTTTCATCCCCTTTCGTATTAAAAAAAAACAAATTTATCATTAAATTTTAATGTAAAAGTGGAACGAAATGTTTTTTTCCTGGTAACCAAACATTAACTTTCGAAAGAAAGCAGGTTCATGCTCCACGGTTGGTCAGTTATGAAACTCTGATGACGTCATTACATTGACATTGACAACATGATGACAGTATCATCACAAGGCACTGGCCTCTGCGCATTACGCTTACCACAGGGCGTGGCAGGGCGTGGTTAGGGGGTTTAACGCCATTACTGGCCACTAAACTGGAAGCATAATGATGCGCTTCATCTATGCGCTGCGCGTTGCAAGTATTTACGCCCTAGCTAATGCCCTGGTAACAAAAATGTAAACAAATCACATTCTCTTGCACTTTTGCGATCTCGAGAACTTTCTGCCACATTTTTGACAGTTTTTGCCTATTTTTTCACTCTTTCAAAAGACCTTATTTCCATCCGCCACGTAAGTACCTAATTCTTACACATTTATGATTATTTAGAGAACATTTGAAGAAAAATGGAACAATATTCTATATTTTATCGAAGCAAAAAGAACTTTTCGTTGACTTTTGTTGTTGTTGTTCACATCCATTCCCGTATCATAAACACGCATGTTATCGATGATCTTGATCATGATGTCTGCCAAACCCGCTTACGTGATGACATTATCTCCCCTTTTCTTTTCATGTGCTATTAATTTTTATGCATTTCAACTTCGTCTCCTTTTCTCCTCCCCCCCCCCCCCCTCGTTTAGATCACAGTTTCTAAATAATATCACTGGAAATGTTTTGCGTCGGACGAATCCGCTCCCCACACCCCTATATACTTGGAAGACCTTTACCCTGTATCGGGTCAGCTAATCATGATGCCATCAAACCACCGATGGTTACCCCCCAGGATGTAAGCAAGAAAATAAAACATGAAATTAAATAAATAAACTAATAAGAAAAATGAAATATAGATACAGATTGATACGACAAATACTTCAAACGATCAACAACAAAATGATAACCAACATAAAATATATAGGCAGAAATGTTAACAAATGAAGAAGACTGAAAAAACAGTTCTTTGGAAGAAAATACAAAAAAGAAAATATAAAACACATTTAGAAAGTATACTTTGCGTTTATCATGCATAGTCACTGAAATTTTGTAGGCCTACTGTATGATATGGACATCAGTTCACCGATACAAAAAAAAAGTTCCCATTTTTGCCTCAAACTTAATATAAACAGGAGCTATGTAGGTCCTTCCAAGACCCCAGCTTCTCTCTGCCGTCTACCATCTCAACCACACCAGCTATGTCGGGCAAGCTCCTTCTGAAGTACCTCCAGAACAACTTGGAGAAAGAACAACTTCAGCAAGGCATTGCTGTGAGTCTTTATCGAATACTCAACTAGTAATTAATAATAGTTGAAATCAATCAATTCGGATTTCTCATTTTTGCGTTAGAAATAATATCATCGATAGTATGAAATCAACAATTTCATTATGGCAATTATGATGGCGATGGTGAAACGAATATCGCATAATATGTTGGTAATATTAATGGTAACAATAATATAAAATGAGATATAATTCATATAAATATTAATGACTATGATATTTGTGGACACTTAACGTGTCAAAGGGCCAAATTGTAACCACTTTAGGGCGGTTTAAATAAAAATTGATTAATTTTTCACAAGTAAATATAAGAATGAGTTTATTTAAAGTTGTAAAGTATGTCAAACTAGAATCGTATGTCTAATGCTTTTATACAAAAACAAGTATTATATAATATTTATACAAAATATCAGAGATTGAAATAAGAAACCCAAAATTCAAAATGAAATCTTATTTTTTATAAATCTTCTTGCTTTGTTTTGGATGACAGAGCCTGGCAACTCAGCTTGGAGTTGGGGCTGATGGAGACAGCGCAGCCCTCCTCACTAAGATCAGCTCTCTGGTGACAGAATCAGAGAGGAGGAGAGTGTCAGCAGAGAGAAGGGCTAAGGCATTTGAGGAGAGGTACCTGGACCAGGCCATGAAGGACCAGGTCTTGGAGCTAGAGCTGGCTGAGACCAGAAAGCAGAAAGATATTGCTTTGAAGAATCTCCAAGTAAACCATTTATGTTTTACTTCTATTTTCGTCTATTCTGATAGGGCTCTCTAAGAGAGCAAGACTTGTTAAAAAATTGATATGAAATAAGTATGAAGTATTATACCTGTAGGCCTAATATGAAACGAATATGAAACAATGTCATCATAAAAACACACATATCGAGCACTTACAGCC